AATATAATCATATAAATATTGGTACATAACTTTCTAAATCTAATTGTGATACTTCTGACAAATAATTTAAAATTGAAATTTCCTATTAACAAGTTCCAAATAATGAATATACATGTAAAGTTGCAAGTATTATAACTATTTAGCTTCTAGCTTCACATGTGACTGTTAAGATAATTTTCTTTTATATAATAAAGAATACAGTGATGAATACTAAAAAAAAAAAAAAAAGAATAAACATTCTCCATATATATAATGTAATATTTGCAGAGAGTACATTGAAAATAGCATCTAAAATTTCACTACTGTTTAATGAATGTCAGAACAATATGACAGTTGAATTTTTAATGTACAGAAATGTGTATTTTCAAACATCAGGTCATAAAGGCAATTTTGTCCACTTTCGTGTAGTAATACACTACTAATTGTCAGAAATTGATCGCTAAACCATATTTGACATATTGCATTTATTATCAAATAATAACATTTTTCTAACATGAATGTAAGTTAATGTAAGTCACTAAATGTGTCACTTTTAAAAATTAAATTTGAAATGTTTTTTCATAATTTTCAATATTATTCAGATGGGATTTAAAGAGAGTTCTACATCAGTGCATATTAAACTTTAATGTGCATACTGATCATTTAGGGAGCTTGCTAAAGTTCAGACTCTGATTCATTAATCCTGAGAAACTTTCTAATAATTTCCCAGGGAGGCTGATCTGCAAACCCCATTTTGTTTAGTAAGGTGTTCAACAGCCACAACATTTAATACTGTGATACAATTTTTTAATACATTTTAAGTCTTTCTTTATAAGATACAAAAATAATGAAATTATAAAGTGATTTTAAAATTCATGGAGGCACTTATCACATTACATTTTAATGCTAAAGGAATCAGTGATTACCCCTGCTCTTCAAAAAAGGTAAATGCTGGGGCAGAACCGAGCTTCTGAAATTGAAACCCCAGGACATGGAGCAAAGAGCAAAAGTCAGATACTTACTAGAAATGCATTCTCACAGGCTTGACTCTAGAACTTCTAGAACTCTGAGGGTGCTGCCCACCAATTTATAGTTTAACAATCACTTCAAAGGGTCCTAATGCAGGCTAGAGTTTGAGAACCATGGAACTAGAAGGCCTAGAGCAAACACTTGGGCAAACATGTAAATCTGGAGAAACAGCTCCACCTGGAGTCTCTTTGCAGGTGTTGCTCATTTGAAACAAAGCAGTGTGGCTGACTGAGGGAGATGAAGGATTGGTAACCTGGGAAGACATTTTATAGACCACGTTTGAGCTCTAACCAGCTAACCAAAGAAGACAGACATTTTCAAGAAAAGCAATTAAAATGATACACACTCTATGCCCACATACTGGGGTCAGGGACACGGGAACTTAAACAGAAAAAAAAATTACAGCAAAAACTGGAGAGAAGGAAACATGCAAAATTAAAAAAGAATAGGAGCACACTGTGGTATCAAAACAAACAAACAAAATCATTGTCATCTAGTTGATGTTGACTCATAGGGACCTTATAAGACAGGGTAGAGCGGCCCTTTGAATCTCAGAAACTGTAACTCTTTACGGAGTAAAAAACCCTGTCTTTCTCCCAAGTGGCTGGTGGTTTGGGACTGCTGACCTTGAGATTCGCAGCCCAGTGAGTAACTACTACGGCCACGGGGCTGCAACATTGTGGTACGGTCCAACAATTAAAATGCATTATGGTTTTAAAAAATGCCATATGGTAATGAAAAAACATTATCCTGGAACTACATGTGTAAACATGATAAATCACAAACAAAGCAGATTGAAACAATGTCAAAGAATACATACATTAGTATATGAGATAGTTAAGGTTTATTGTGCCAGCCTGGCCGATAAACACATGTGGGGTTAACTGAAGGGTGGAGAGATAAATGGCTCCGTGAGCCTCGCCTTTCTAGTTCTCGGGTCTCTTGCTTTCTGATGGTTGGACCAGAGTCAGGTCAGGTGCCTTAGCCAGTTCCCTGCTTCGGCTGACAAGGCTCACTTCCTGCAAGACATCCCTGAGGAGAAACCGCATGGACCTACCTGGACGCAGCCCTGGGTGCTGGAGCAGCCGTGTGGAGACCCCTGCCAGCGCTGAGATGTTTACACATTCATTCACTGATTCGGCTTTCCTCCTGCAGTCGGCGTCATGGCGTGTGTTTTGTGAGATTGAGGAGGACTTTGTAGACATATGGACTAATGTTGGACTTATGGGCTTAGCCAGCACTGGGTTGGGATGTTTTCTTAATGTACACTTACCCTTTATATAAAACTCTCTTATACATATGAGTTTCTGTGGATGTATTTCCCTAGTTTACCCAGACTAACACTGTACATTTATATAGATAGCAATAATGAATAATTATGTGTGTTTGTGTTTTATTCACACATAAGAGTGTGATAAAAGTGAAGGTGCTTTGAAATTTTTGTGGGAAAATTATCTTTTTTTATTTTAATTACAACAAAAATGTATTTTGGATTAACAATGCAGTAGAGCAATTTTAAAAGAGTCACACAAAGCATTGCAATGCAACAAACATGTGTCCACAAGATAAAACTCAGCATCTTGCCTGTTGGAAGCTGCATGTCTCGTGCAGTCTTGTGGGCAATGACTTGTTCGCCCACTACTGTTCAAGGAGGAGGGAAGGGTCCATTGCTCATTGAAATGACCAAT